CTACCCATTTTTTTAACACCTCCAGGGACAGTGCCTCCACCATCTCCCTGGGCAGCCTGTTCCAAGGCTTCACCACTCTTTATGTGCATAACTTTTTCCTGATATCCAGTCTGAACCTCTCCTGGCACAACGTAACCCCCTTTCCTCTTGCCCTATCCCTAGTCACTAGGGAGAAGAGGCCAGCACCCACCTCACTACAACCTCCTTTCAGGTAATTGTAGAGAGCAATGAGGTCTCCCCTCAGCCTCCTCTTCTCCAAGCTGAACAGCCCCAGCCCCCTCAGTCTCTCTTCGAAAGATCTGTTCTCCAGACCCCTAACCAGCCTAGTTGCCCCTCTGTGCACCCTCTCCAGCATCTGAAATGCCAGTGAAAGTACACCTTTCTCACTGATTAATCTCTACTATCAGTTATGAACTGCTAAAAGGACACTGGAACAGGCAGGGAGACTTAGATTTCACAGGAAAGGAAATAAGGAAAACAGACAACTGTACTAGTATAAAGTTATTGCTGATGAAATAAAAGGCTGACAGAACCTGGGAAAAAAGCACATTTTTACTACTGTGTAAGAGAGTCATTAATGTGAAGAGTAGTTTTTCTTACAGGCTGAGAAAGGTCACAAAAGAAAAGGCTGAAGAAAATACTTGTGCAGAGTTCTTCTCCCTCAAGTACTTGCCACAACATGAAGCTCATCCATGCTTAGTGAAATAACTCAAATTTCTTTCCTTGTAAATGTAAGGAATGGTGTTCATTACAAGAATTGTTTTTAATGGCTTCCCTGATGAAGCAAAGGTGCTTCATCTCACATCCTTGATGTTTGCATCTCCAGTGGGTGGGACAGGAAGATTATCTCTGGTAAGACACTGCAGTAACTGTATTGAAGAATGGGGTTTATACCTGGGGGCTCAGTTCTGTTCTGAGACAAATAAGCAGAAATCTCATGGGCTACAAAGGGCACGTGTCTGAGTATCAGAGGTCAGAACTGGGTGTCTAATTTGGAAATGAGAGAATTGCACTGCTCTCTGTAAAGCTATTTGAAGAGTAAACTGTTTACTAATTATTGAAAATAGATGCTAGTAAGATTTCAGTAGACTTTGAAAGTGTTGTTAGTGAAATCCTTGCTGGAAATATGAGTTTTTTTGGGGGGAGAGGGCGTGGGATGTAGGGGGTGGAAAACCTGATGGAAAACCAGCTGGTTTTCCATCCATAATCTGAAATGCTAGATGAGTAGTGTTTGAAAATTACTGCAAGTGACTGTGTTTGTTAGCAGTAGCTTACATTTTCTGGGGGATAAGAGAGATCTTGAAGAAACTTGTGAAAGCAACTGCATTTTTCAAATTTTAAATAGAAAAACTGAATACCTAAAAACTCAAGTGTGTGCTGGGGAAGTAACCTGTTTTCTGTAACCACAGTGATAGCTTTTTTTTTTTTTTTTTTTAATGAACTGTGCTTACATCCTACCAATAGTTTTTGAGAAGGCAGTCTTCTACAAAATTTTAAAGCTTGCAACATGGGGTATTTGACATACTTTGTAAATATGGTTTATTTAACAAGTCTTTCAGTGAATGTGGGATTAATTATTTTAAAAAAAATCTGTCTTCTGGATTTCTTATAATAATATTACTAGGATTCATTGCTTTTACCCCTTCTCTCTTTCTTGGCCTTAACTAGTTCCCACCTATGCATTTTTGTTGTGTGATATGCAACTAGTACTTACAAAGCATATATTTGGAGAATAATTGAATTTAGTGCAAGGTCACAGCAGAAATCCCATGCTCTTGGTCTTGTCAACAGAGATGTAAAAATAAAAATATTAATTGGCAACCTATTTTCCCTTATGCTGTGAATTTTAAAAATTACCTTTCTTTTCTCATCTGCATTAACCTATGATATCAAGACTGTCCTCACTGTCCTCAAAGGGTCTTTCTTGTTTGTGCCTCTGTGCACAGGGACTTATAGGAGGGACAGAGATGAAGATACCTGGGGTCACTGTTATGTGGATTATGAACCAATTACTGCTTCACTGGCACCTTTCTCTGGTGGGGCATGCAAAGCAAGAAATGTTGAACCAAGTGGAATGAAAATGAAATCTGACCTGTGCTGTCAGCTAAAGCTTTAGTAGTTGTTCTCTCCAAGCGTGAGCCTCTCTCTGCCCTGACCCATGAAAATGTGACTTGTGGATGTGGACAAATGCAGGTGGCTTTGAAAGGCTTAGCAAAGTCCATACAGGAACTGGGGGGAGGAGGTTGATTGATTGAGTCCAACAAGAGAAGACAAGAAATTGGTGAGTGGAGCAGGAGCGTTGTGTGGCAGCAGGCGGTGGTGGCCTTGGCTCCTGAAGAGCCCAAGCACTGCTAGCACTGGGGCTGCAGGGTGGGAATGGGCCTAAAGCAAATGTATTTTGAAGGAGAAATTTGCAGCAGAACAACAAGGTTTTTGTGGGAATATTTATTGGAAGGGTTTTGTGGTCATTAGTGTCCTTCTTTCTCTGAGGGCTTTCACAATGAGAAGTGGCATTACTGCTTGCTCAAAGTTGGGAATTGCTGTATTGATTTGTTAGTGAGAGATGGAAAGGTCAGGCCAGGAAGAGCCTGTCAAGAAAAGCAGCTTATGTTTGGTCAAGTAGAGCAGACTTGTGAGTGGTGGTTGAAGGGTAGGGTGCAGTCTCTGAGAGTTAGTGGAGTGTTTTTAATGTACAGCAAATGCTCACAAGACCCTGAAAATGGCCTTGAGTGCTCTGTCTTGAGTATCAGCTGTGCATTTCAGGACACAGGCTTCTCTTCTCTGAGATAGGGCTTTGTCTGGGGAAGGTAATGAGCTGGCTTTTTTGGGAAGGACAGGAGGAACACTGCCCTGAAATCATGGCACAGAGCCACAGCCTGCTGCTGCATATCCCACCTCAGTCTGCCAGAGCCCCCCAGTGTGTATGCTTTTAATGTATTCGATCTGTTAGTTTTATCTTTTGCATGGTGTGCCGTGGTGGTTAAATTTCAGCTGAGGTGAGTCCAGCATGAGCAAGTTGTTCCAAAGGTGAAAAGCCACTGCGGAGCTGCCGAGCAGCTCCAGGGTTACACCGAGGGACGATAAGCTGAAATCTGACCGCACTTAAGCTGCTGTTCAAGTGTGCAGAGTCTGCTTCTGAGAAAGATCCAGTCTGTTCTGAGCACCTTTAGCCCCAGGAGGAGGGAAGCCAGGGCAAAGGCTGGGAAGCCCAACCTCCTTTGGCCACACTCAGCGCCTCCATTGGCTGCTGGGGGCATTTCTGATGTGGCTCCATAAAGGTCTTTCTGCAGTGATTAGTGTTGTCACAAGCAGCACATGTCACACATGGGACACACCTGTCAGAAGCTTAAGAATTGAGGTAGTGGGGAAATTGTATTTATTTGGTAACATTGACTACTAGCAAGAGGTTGTTATTGCCATTGATGCAGAAGCTAAATAATCCTTTCTGTATTTTTTTCCTGGGCTTTCAAATAAGGGCAGGTTAAAGAATGATGTTGGGGTGCATCTTAGCTTGGTAATTCATTGTCATTTATTAACTTGTACCTGGAGCAGAGAGTCAGGGTAGGTTGAAACTCATAGTCCTTCCATAAGGCTCTTCACCTTTAAAGCCAAAGTTCATACAGTTGGTATTTATCAGAGAATCAAGCACATATGGTTTGAAAGGATTTGTGACTTGGACACACAAGGGGCTTATCTTCAGAGAGAAAGGTATGACTTCTTTACTTAGGGACAGTTAACAAGCGTCATTTGTTCCAAGATACAACATAAGGACGGGGTGCTTTTGTTTAGTTCTACATAAACTTACAAAGTCGGCCAAATGGGAAGGCAGGACTTAATTTACTGTGTTTACATTGTGATAAATCCACAGTGCCTGATCTTTGATATATTCTTATCTCGGAATAAGTTATATTTATTACTTCACTCCAAACCGTGCCTTCTTTTTTAGAATATGGAGACAAATTCAGATGTAAAAGATACCTGAAGCTGTTCCTGAAATGTTAATAACTAATTATTTTTTAACACAGCAAAAGTTTTTATGTACTGTCAAAAGAGTTGAGGAAAATTTAGAAAGTCCTTAGAAAGGACCACTGGAGCTCATCTTGTCCAATCTCCTTCCCACTCAAAGCAGGGCAAACTCTGAAGTTAGATCAGGTTGCTACTCAGGTATATACGCTGATACTCTGAATCAGTTTGTGGCTTTTTATTTGGTGTATTTGACTGTTAGGATGACGTGTAACTTCAATGACATCATTATAACCTTTGCAGTTTTTAAGAGAAATTCTTTGCTAGGTCAGTAGTAATTTTAGCCAATGACTTAATGAGGTCAAGATAAGACCTAGAGGTTTCAGCTTGTTAGTTTCTTTTTTTTCTAGTTACAGATATACTTAAGATGGAATATACCTTTTGGAAGCCTTAGCAACTTATGTTTGGCAGAGTGAACCAAAAACTAGTTACATGAAACTATAAAAATGGTAAGCTTTCAGTCAAAGAGGAAGCAAGATAGAAACAAATAGTGGCCTTTATTAAAGGTTTGGACTCTCTAATTTCCTTTAAAAACTGTAACTTAAGTAGTTCTGCTTTGTCTTTTCCCATACGTAATTAAGTCATAGATATCAGACAAAACATTAATAAAAAAGAAAAGCAAAATAGCAAAGGAAAATAGTTAGGGATATTGTCAAGCTATAAAATTTTACTTGGGCAGAAAGGATCTTTTGAAAAATTCTATATGGATGGTGATGCTACCAGGAAGCTTGTGGAATTGACTGTTTTGAGTTCAGTTAGGGGTTTAGTGTAACTTGGTTTACTAGAACTTGGGTTCATTATTTCTTCTTTAAAACAGTTTCCTGTGCCATTCTGGATTGGGAGATACTTCCAGTAGAAATGTTAAATTAAAAATCTATTCCAAATATTGGAAGCAATTACAGTAGTTTGCTTTGACACTTGGACACAATTCACCTCTGAACTACCTTCACAGATATTAATATATCCTCTGCCTTCAAATGCTAACCAAAAATTGCTTTTTGTTTTATGTTTCTAGCCGTCGGACTGGCCAGTATACAATGAACCATGACCATTCCAAGAAGACCCCTGATGGAGCATCGTTTGATCGTTCAGGATCCCAGGACTCCTTGGATGAACTGTCTATGGATGACTACTGGAAAGAACTTGAAAACATCCATGAAACCAGAGGAAATAATAATGAGGAACGAGTTGCACTTGTACTGAAAGAGCCAGATGGTAATGAAATCTCTTCTTGTGAATAATCGTCAGTTTGCTGATTTAAGGATTTTTCTTTCTTTATTTTATTATTTATTTTCTTATTTCAAGAGAATGCACCCAACAAATACACTTAAATCAAAAAGAAGGTCACTCAGCTGAGCATGCACTTTGAAAATTCTGATGCATATCACTAGAAACAGGCAGTGCCCTGAAAGAAATTGGAGACAAGTAAAAGGCTACTTTGCCTTTAAATGTTATTTGCAGAACATCAGAAAGCTGCCTGTGCTTGCAAATCTCAGCAATTGAAGCTTTATTTGCAGTTTACTGTTAAACTAACTTACCTTTTCACTCTTGGTGTATGTTGTTTGTCGTTGTAGCTATTGTGGATAGAAACCTCACGCTTTAGAAGACAAGCCAATGATTAACTGGTTTAAGTTTAGTGAGTAACTTTCTATGCTTGTAACTATTGTGACTGTTCAGTTGTATTATTTTTGTTTCTCAAAAGCATCAATTATGGGCCATTCCTGACGGCATAATCTTAGAAGGAGTTGGTCAGTTTCTTTATTTTTCTCGTCCTGTCAGACAAAAAAGGAGTAATGTCCTTTATTCCACGCTTCTCTCAAAAGTTACTTATTAACAGTGCAGTATCTGCCTCTCCCATTCTAACAAGGGACTCACAGTCTCAGTAAATTAAAAGGAGAATTTTGCATTTTGGTATGGCCTCTACATGAGTGAGAAGAATGTGTTCCCATAGCTTTCAAAGGTATATGCACTTCTGCCTCCCTAGGCATTTTGAAACATCACTGCAAGTGCTCTGCAGAGGATAGCAATGTGACCTCTGGAGAAAGCAGCAAGGCTCTGAGCCTGCATGCTTGGGAAGCAGGGCATCTGTGGAGCTGTGAGGCTTCTTCATAGCAGCAGAGTACAAGTACTCCTGGACATGTGGGACACTGCACCTGGCAGATGAACCTGCCTGGGTGGGGGCTTGCTTGAGATGTGGCCATGGAAAGGCAAGGCAGGGGAGACACAAAATCATAGAAACATAGAATGTCTTGGGTTGGAAGGGACCTCTAAAGAGATATACCTTGCTCACATCTGCTCTGCAGAATAGATGTAGCCCTCCTTTCCAGCCTTAATAACAAAATCAGAGAGTTTTGTCAGATGTTTAGGATTTGGCTGTGTGGCCATAGCAAAATTTGTGCTTAAAATTTTCTGTTTTCTGAATGCTGTTAATATTCAAGTGCCCACTTGGTTGTGCACTGGGCACCGTGAGAAACTACAGTCAAAAGTTGACATGACAGCTTTGGGGTAGTTTTAGGCATCTGAGAATTTTGCTTGAGCATTTGAGGGGGTTGTTGACAATCAGCACAAGCTCGGATGCTACAGACAGAACTTAGTGTTTTAAAAAAAGCTTAGTGTTTTTAAAAAAAGAGATGCCAATTTCAGAAGCAGAAGTTTTGCCATTGGTGACAGTTTTTAATAGGTTTCTACTCTGTCATGTGCAGTGATCTGTCAATAAAGGATACCTTATCAGATATAAGACTAAAGCAACAGTTGTTTTGTAGGCTGTCAGCAGGCTGGAGACCATGTCATGAGAACTGATTAAGAAATACCATTAAGGTGACTCCTGTAGCTTGGTTTGTCCTTCATTAAATTGAGCTGCTGGAGAGTTGCAGTATTAATGTATCAAGAAAAGTGGGCAGAATCATGTCAGTAAAGAAGCTCAAAAGATTGAGGATTGAACTAAAAATCAATGAAGCAGCAATGATCAGAGGCTTTCAGACTTCACCATACACATTTATATATAGATACATTTATAAGATGGTATATGATTTAATAGAAGTGCTGTAGATCATTCTAAAGATTGCCCCATAGCAATTTGTATTGGATTAACTATTTTTAAAGTGTTGCTATCATACAATTAACCCTTTTGAAGAACTTTAGAAACAACAGCTTTATTCCAAGTCATGATAGTATAAGTAACTGTTGTTAATCATGTATCCTTTTAGTACTTTCCCCATGAACTGCATTAACTAGACCATGTTATTAACATCCAGTGTGCTTAAGAGTACTTGAAAGCCAACGGTTGTGCCTTTTTCTCTTTGCCTTGCTCAGAAGGGGAACTGGAAGAAGAATGGCTGAAGGAGGCAGGTCTGTCAAATCTGTTTGGTGAAAGCTCTGGTGACTCCCTGGAAAGTGTGGTGTTTCTGTCCACGCTGACCCGAACCCAGAAGGCCGCAGTAGAAAAGCGAGTAGAAACTGTCACGCAAACCATGAGAAAAAAAAACAAACAGCATCAGATTCCTGATGTCAGAGATATCTTCAGGCTACAAAATGACTCAAAGGGAAAAGTAAGTTCCTTGTTTCATTCTGGTAGAAAGAATAGAGGAAAATGCAGGGGTGGGGAGAGATAAGAGGGACACACGAACACAAAAGGGGTATTTCCAGAAGATTTGTGTTTCAGTTTTCACTGACTTCCATGGCAATTTCTTACTGGATGTATGGTAATAGAATTTGTTCGAACTTGCTTAAGCAGTTTTAGTATGTAGAAGGAAGTATGTATATTGGCCTTGTATTACATAGAGGTGATGAATAAAACAACCACTCCATGGTCAATATACTAATCTGAATTAATTTTAACGCATGCAAAACTCAAGACAACAATTACCCAAAAAGCTACAAAAAGCCCACTTTTATCTTTGTATGGTAGTGCCCTGCAGCCATGCTTAGCAGCCTGCCAGGTAGGGAACAGTACCTCTTACTTAGTGGAAAGTAAGGAAAAGAAAAGGACATCAACCTAACCCCTTCCATTTTGTCTAGGTCTTTATGCCTGTCAGCTGGGGACTTAGATCCTGTACTACCTGCTAGGGCCTATGTGTGTCCTTAAACTGTGTGTGGGAAGTTGCTCTGTCAGATCCTGAAGGGCCCTGTTTTCCTCTCATGGGAGAGTTCCTCTCCTATACAAAGAAAAGGAGAAGGAGGGAAATGCAGACTATATTAGAATTTCTCTTTGGAGAAGTGTGTGTGTCTTGTCCCCCAAAAGCAACAAGGTCTTTAGCTGTAAGAAGATTCTGACCTGATGAAAGTTAATGGCTACCTTACCTGCCCCATCCCTTGTTTTTGCTGCTGCTGTTCAGTGCAATGGTAGTGGTGGTGAAAAGCATGGCAAATTTTGAGGGGATTTAACTTCCTCTTCCCCCTCTACTTCCTCTCCCTCAGCAACTCCTTTCAACTTCAGTAGAGGTGAAATGTAGTGGGAGGAGTTTGTAAGTTCAAAGGTATGTTCTGGAGGCACAAATTGCTTTTCACTGTTCTGCTTTGCATGTCGTTGCAAAAGGGATTTAAGTCCATAAAAGTTTTGTGGCGTCTGATTTGCAGTTGACTACACCTAAATATTACAAGATCTAATAGCAGAGCAACTTGAGTAAAATATCAAATAGCTTAAAGCAGTATAATTTCCCATTCAGGTATGTTATTTCATTAAAGCACAAGAAATATTAATGTTTCTGTATTTAAGGTACACCTTGTAATGTTTGAAAATCATATGCCACAGTGTTCAGTATTCTATGTGTCTTAAACTACATGTTTTGATATTGATGACATCAGTGAGAAGTAATGCAAATACAAATAATTGTAGCTACTTAAGATGTATAAAACAGAAGAATATTTATTAAATATAGAAATAAATGGGGAAAAGAGGGAATATTCTCTAAATCTGTCTCCTTGTCTGAAAAAAAAGAATGCAAGTATAGGCCCTCAAACCTATACTGCATTCCTTTCTCCAAAGGAAGATAATTATTCAGAAACCATTGTGTGTGGTTATTCATCTAATCTGTCAGAGGAAGCCTGTAGTGAAGTAACTTCTACAGACTCTGTAGGTAACTTGCCTTGGTGCTTTGTTACTCAGCCCTCATTAGAAAGCTTTTTTTTTGTAACAAAAAGAGGACTGAAGTCGTCTGCAGCTGTATGAAGTCATCCCGTTTTAATAATAGTCTCTAAAAATCCGGTAACCTCCCTTCACCTGGAGGAAAGCAGGAGGAAAGGTGAAACAATAGTGTTGACAATTTGCATCAACGCAACAATTGTGTTGATGTTTCTGCTAAATTTCCTGCCATATTCCCAAAGAGAATCTATACTTTTGGTACCTTGACAGCTGCACAGTCTGCTCCTACTGCTCTGTGAAACAGCAATAATTTTCTGGGAAGTCATGCTATGACTAAATAAACAGATTTGTGTTGGTAAGAGAAATCTCTTTAAAAATGGGGTTTTCCTCAGTAAATATGAAATTATAAAGTCCTTGAGTAAAATGCAGTTAAAAATACAAAATGCTAAGCATGCATTGTTGATCTCAGTTGCCAAAAAGATAATAAACATAATATGTGGGTAAAAACATAAATGGGTATATGTATACCTCCCCACACACATATATGTAAAAAATATCTTTTCTACATGTTCTGAAACACTTTTTCTATAGGAGGTGTCATCCAGCTCATGGAATGTGACAGATTTTGAGGCTGGTGAGTGCAGCAGTGTAGAAAGGAGATGGTTCAAATCCTTTCCTGTTTCATTGCCTGTTCGAAGTGTCCTGATTTTGCTGTTGGGAATATAAGCTGTAAGCACAGATGTTAATGACAGGCAGTCCTGCAAAAGGGATGGAATTGTTCTGTAGGAGAGGCAACCTTGTAAGATTTTGAAAAGTGAAGGAATCTGGACTGAGCAAGTCAAAATGTCTCCACCAGATTCCTTTTCCTTATCCTTTCCAGTACAAACTAAGGCCTCAGGTCAAAGAATACATTTTCTTATTCTTTGCAACTCTGTAAAATTAATTCTTCTACCCATTTATCCTTTTAGGAAGACGGGGAATGGACTTAATTACTATTTTTTAAATTACCTAGATTTCAGATCCTCTTAGACTTTGGCAAAGGGTTTTCTACTGAAACACATAGGTGTGCTTCAACATGCTCTTGAATTGCAGGAGTATGTGGTTTCATCCTGCACAGCATCATAGGAGTATCTACAAACGTGTTTGGGTTTTATAGGCATGCCTATCTATTGTTCTTTTCTTAGATCTGTGATGGAAGTGAATCCTCAACTGTGAGAACAAGTGAAAACAAAAATGAAACACAAGATGAAACAAAAAGTAATGTCAAACAACTTTTTTTTTTTTTTTTTTCCTGTTGGTTTGTAGGCTTTCAGCTACACAACTACTACAGAGGTCCATATTTCCAGCAGCTTTTCAGAAAAAGAAAATGAAATTGTTATGAGAAACCTGTTCTGGCCTGTGTGGTTGTAGTGCTGTACAATATTAAGTGTGTCTGTAGAGTCCTTTGTGCCATGTGGGGAACCTTGTTTAGTACCAGTGATTGTTTCACAGTACCAGTGATAATCAAATCGTCTGGGAGAAGTCTCTTCTCATAGCTTATGCTTAGATTTTTCCTGATCCTTAATTTATCCCTTCTGGTTTCTCTCTACTGTACATTACAGGAAATTAAGCACTATACACAAGCTTATCAGTGCATACAGGAGAAGAAAGACAAATGGACTGTAGACATCCAAAGAAAGTGAGAACTGGCTGTATATCTGCAGCCCAAGATGAAAGAAAAACAGGAATGGAAGAAAAAAGTTGTTTACCTTTTAAAGGCAAATTGAAAGGAAACAGCATTTTGTGTGTGTAGGACTGGGTTGTGTCAAACAGTGTGTAATTGATTACACAAGAGGGGTGCAACACCCATGGAAGGCTGTTCCCTCTCACTGACAGGTAGGACAGAGCATCACAGAGCTCCTTAACTATCTCTATAGTTTCTGTTTTGAGAGTAATGAATTTTGGTGGAAGACTTGGACAAAGCTTTCTGCTGTTCTTCAGGTCCAATAATAAAAGGGTGGCTGCCCTGCCTGAATGTTTTTCTGAGTAATCTGCTCTAGAGAATCCTGCTCTAGCAAGGCAGTTGGACTGGGTGATCTCCAGAGGTCCCATCCAACCCCCTACCATTCTGTGATTCTGTGATCTTTGGTTTCTTTGGTGGGATTGCACCATGCCTGTTATGTCACCACACCCTTCATTGTAGAGGTCAGGATATTATTAACTGGCAGCCATTTAAGCTTTAAGATACTGTGTAACTATTCTGCATTGTTTGTATGTGGGGTTTTCCTCTTCAGGGGGACTGGATAGTACACAGTTGTCACAGTGAACCCTATAGCCACTTATCTAGGTAAGCAGATCAGGTTCCCTGCTGCAAATTACTAACCTGTAATTAAGCTGCTAAATAAACTTCTGTTCCAGTTCTAAGTATACTGACCAGCAGTATTCTGGAAAGGCTGTTACTTTAGAACTGAACTTAGAAAACAGCAACAGACAATAAAGGATATGAATGGAAGTCAGAGAGATTTATAGAAACCAGCCCTGAATATCACAAAATCTGTGCATTTCCAGAAGTGCTGTTAATCCTTCCCTCCCTCCATCAGTCTCAGCAAACCTCACTCCAATAAGAACAGTAAAAAATTGGGAGGACTGCCAGAATGCTGGTTCAGCACATGGGAAGGAAGAGATGGCTGGTGCTTGTGTCAATAAACTGCACTGTAGGATTCAGAGCTGGAAAATTACCAAGCAGTTATTACTGAGTTTTTATCACATCTGGTTCTTTTTTTCCAGTGGCCCTGATGAACCCTTCAGAAGTGGGAAGTTCTGAAAGGCAGATCCCATATGCTTGCTCTCCTCAGCACAGATTGTGATGTGAATGGCAAATGCAGCCTCCTTACATCCCGATACACTTCTGCTCTTGTCAACATGCTAAAGAGGGTTCTGCTTCCAGAGTTGTGTTAGGATGAAAAAATCGGTTAAATTGCAGTCAAACCATGCAAGTTTGGTGGTGTTAAAAGCACCAGACCTATTTCAGTGCTGTGATCTTTGTTCCAGAATGATGAGCAAATAAGTGTTATACAACAGTGACTGAATTTAAGGCAAAAAGTAAACAATGCCTGATATTTCAGAGATAGTAAATATTCATGCAATGTCTGAAGACATTATTTTAAAATGGAAACTCCCTTTGACATAGAAGTAGTACAAGTTTTACCTGAAAAATATCATCTCAGACTTTATTTAAAAAATCCAAAGCTTAAATTGAGATGTCTTAAAACTGTTGGAGTAGGGCCAGAGTAATTCACTCTAAAGGTGATGACTGTGTTCTCTTCTGTTTGACATTTGAATTCTGCATTCCCAAGTGCTTCTGCCAGACTGAAGATGATAATGGCTTGCCCTTAGTACATATATGGCTGTGTGAACCTGTGTGTATTCCATGTTTCTTGCCAGTCCAACACACCTTCTTTCTTGCCTAAACAATGTCAACAAACTCAGATAATAATAGGGAACAATTATGTTTTTATTTTCTTCCTGATCCTGCTCAAACAGAACAGTTTAAGTTCCTAAGATTTTTTGTGGGTAGATGCGTATTTGAGTTGTTTTGGAAGGACCCTTTCTTACTGGCTTTAAGTGCCTCTTTGTTTCAGAATGTGTCTACAGGAAATGAAAAGAAAATTCAGAATAATGTATTAAGGTGTCAGAAGATGTTATCATTTTAGCAATCCATAACACTCACAAAAGACCTTCAAAGGTAGCAATAAATTCAACAGCTCTGAAAGAAAAAAAGGAATTCCCTTTGGATGCCTGTGAAGAGAAGTAAATAACTGTGTTGGTTGAGACATCTCAAGAAATAAAAAAGAAAGAATAAAGCAGATGAAAAGCTAAGACTTGTTAGCTTAACTAGAGGAGAAGTAAAAGTCAGTTTACTGTGGGACTGCAGTTGTCCTTCTCAACATACAGGGTTAGCTACAAGGATAGAATGTTAGATGAAACCTTTGTGTAGGAGCAGCCTCAAAGCATAATGATCTAGCAAATGGATGAACAAATTGTGTATCGTGTGTAATGTGAGGGAAAAGAGCTATAATGTTGGCTTCTTGATAGGCAAAGAGACTAAAATGTGGTTGTACTTCTTAATGAAAGGTTTTGTTTCTGCTTTTCATTTGACATGATTGTCCTGGTTTGAGCCAGGATGAAGCCAATTTTTCTTTTTACTGATTTTTTTTCCTTCAGTAAGCTTTTTTGTAGCTAGCAACAGTGTGTTCTGCTAGGCTGATAAGACAGTGGAATGTTTTTCTAACTACTGAGGCTTCAAGGCCGCACCTGCACTCAGCCAGCTCAGACACTACGGGGAGATCTGTGACCCCCCCGTAGGAGGCTGAGTTAGACAGACAGCAAAATTGGCCAAAGATATTCCATTCCATATATCTACGTAAGCTCAAAGGAAGGTCAGAGATCACAGAAGACAACTTCCTTCCTTCTTTCTTCTTCTCCCTTCTCTTCCGTCCATGGCCGGTGTCCAGGGAGGACTCTGTTCATCCATCACCGTCGATCCTCAGCCTTGATCTCTCGTGACCCCCATAACTCTCTGCTTTCTCCAGCAGCAGCTCCGGGATTCCTTGGGACTCTTCCCAGTTCAGGGAAGTGCTGTGGGAGTTGCTGGGGTGGGGGGAGGCGAGAGGCTTTTGCCCATACCTGAATATATATCTGTATATAATTGTATATATTTTCTTGTATGATTCATTAGTGTTTTAATTAAAGCTGTGTAGTTTAGTTTTCAATCCAGCCAAGTCTCTCTCTTTTTCTCTCTCTCCTTCCCTACCTGGGTTGGGGGGAGGGAGGATCGAGAGCATTGTTGTCGGACCTGAGTCAAACTGTGACAATGATAAATGAGGACTCTACAACTGGAGTCATAAAGTGTTACTGAAAAGATCACAAAGTTTATTATTTTTTATTTAAAGTTATCTATGAATTAGCATTTTGGATAAATGCTTTGTCAGTCAAAAAAATCCTAAATCAGCCTTTCTACCTTTCCAATTATAAATTAAGGTCTATTAGCATAGATCCATTGGGGTATTCTCTAGAGTCTCTAGCAAAACTAGGAAATACCAAGGTTGACACTTCCAGTATCTTCATGTCCTAGTAGAAAGAAACCCAAAACGTGACCGTTGCCTCACTCCTGAAGAATTCCCAGCATTCTATGTGATCCTTAAATAGCACTGTGAGCCACGGAAGGGGTAGAAAACTAATGCAAAATATGGTTTCCACATTCTTATAGACAACATTTTTCTGTATCGCACTTGCCTTTCTCTCATGAAATGTTGCCTGCATTTAGCAGTTTGGCAGAACACCAAAGCTGCTTCCTTTTACAGCTGCTTTCTGGTTAATGAAGGCACAACAGCAGGAGCCAGGCTATATGATCAATAAGAAACTGCCCACAACAGCAGCATTTCCAGACCATTAGAATGTGCACAGCATTACCTAGACATCTGTTTTACACAGTGCCTTCCTATGACCAAAAGACTGAAACAGGAGCTACTGCTTTATTGTTTGTTAACATCAGATTCCTCCCAGGCTGGTAGGAAGTATGTAGGTCACTATAGGCCACATTAGCATGACAAAAGTCTTGGGGGATGGGGAACTGTTTCCCTTTAGTTCAGATACATTAAGCAGTTTACAAGATGTATACAGATAGACACACAAGGAGGCCAAAGATCAAAGCCAGGGATGAATTTGACCTTGGATATGGTTGGTTACTGAGTCTCATATATCTCTTTACCAAAAGGAGCAGCTCTAGTTTCAGGAGCAGCTTAATCTTTAGCGTATGGCCCAGGTGTCTTTCAAGGTCTTATGGAAAGTGAGCAGAATCTATGCTGGAAAGAGCAAGTGGTGAGTAACACACAGAAGAGGCAAAAATTGGAAATTGTTTATTTTACTTTTCACAGCGTTGCTTGATTTTAAGTAGAGTTACAGTGTTAACTCAAATCCACCTTCTCTTGCTGGAAGTGTCTCAGCTCTGGATCAGTTACATCAAAGTGGGAGTGTTTTTTTGTACAGCACTGTGCCTGACCAGACCAGTGACTGGTGGCTGAAGCCACTTGTAGATCTGTCAGTTTGGCCCCAGCAGATTGAGGTTATTTTCAGGACTTAATAAGAATAGCAGAGATTGGTCTTGTTTTGTGTATAGTCTTTCAATTAGATGCTGATATGATTCAGAAAGCAATTTTAGTTTGTGTAATTTTTTGTATTAACTTGATACTTCATGTGTTGTTTGGGTTGCAGGCTTGCAGCTCAGTGCTTTCTCAAACCACTGAAAGTATCTGTGTAGAGCAGCACTTCCCTGATACATTCTCTTTTAATCATTCTGTCTGCAGCTTTTCCCTAGTTTCAAGGTCAAATGTTGCTGTAGCTGCTTTCTGGGAATTTTTTTTCTGGCTTAGTGTAGCATATTTATTCCAGGCCATACAAAAAATTCCCACAGCAATAAAAAGAAATCGACCCTACTATGTGACACAATATTCTTATACCAAAGCAAATGCACTGCTTATGGTTTTCCTCAGCTTGTGTCCATTTCCATCCCACTTTGTCCTGCATTTGTGCCTGTTGGCTTTCAACAGACTGTAGTCTCCTATGAGTAGGACCTAGTGGCAGAATCACAGTCTCACTGAAATGAACAAGATTGATTTGTTCATTTTTCCACTGGTTCTAAGAAAGTCTGAATTTCATCACAGATACTTGCTAGGTGTTTGTAATTTCTTGTACGAGGAACCGAGTCCTGGATGTATTCTTTAAGAAATACCACATAATGAAAGAGGTGGTGAAGCCATCAAAATCTTTCCCTGGCTAGATTGTCTTTGATGCTTTGTTACTTACATTACAATTTTCCTCTTACTTCTTTCACAGTGTCTATTAACTTCAGGCTGAAAAAGCAATGGTTCATTTACTATGAAGTTAAACAACCTCTTATTCTAAAAGCAGAACTGCTTCTCTCTATTTTCCTTTTTTTTTTTTTTTTTTAAACCGAAACAGTTCTAAATTTTTCTTCTGTTTGATTCCTTTGAGGAACAAAGAAAGAGAAGTAAGGCCATTATTTTGTACTTTATCCTTCCTTGTTCTGTGGCAAACAGTTTTTAGAAACCTAGAATCTTTAGAGGCAAAGACAGGAATGTTGGGACAAAAACATAATCTTGAGTATTTCCTGTTATTCCCAGATGTTAATGCTCATTGTTGCCCAGATGTTAATGATCATTGAGAAAACATTGTATTTTGCTTTTGAAATTTTAACAGCAGAAAGAGTTGCTGATTTGGTTGTAGGATGCTACACTCTTTGAGGCTTGAAAGTGTTTGATGGCAAGAGACTTCTGATGCCAAAGCTGTTTGGCTCTGAAAGATTGTGGGAGTCTGTTGTTTGGGGTACATTGCTTCATCTTTTCCTAATAGATAAATAGGAGAAAATGTAACACCTAGGCAGAATTATCCAAGAAAAACTAGAAAACGTGAACCCTTCCAAGAAGCCAAATTTTAAAATAACATTAAAAAATGCAGAAATTAGTGAATTTAGAACCAAGAAGTTGATCCTTTGCACAGCATTAACTTGTACTTGGTTTTAAATTTACTCTGATGCACTGAGTGATTCTCAGATATGCTGCTGTTGGTTATTAGTTTTTCACTCTGTTTTCAGGTCCAAAGTTCAGTCTTCGAACGGATGAACAGAAGAGCCCTCTTAAAGACATGCCATTTTCAGACACTGACATCAATTTGGAGATATCATTTTCAGAACAGGCGGCTAATCTCAAAGACAGCTCAGTAGGCAAAATGTGCAGAGGTGGAGGGAGTGACACTCTTCTCCCGGTAGGTTTTTCTTATTTATTACTGTCATTCTTTGTTTTTACTGGTGGTACTATTTGGATTATATTTATCTGATAGTGGGTGAATTAAATTTAAAAGAATGTTGTTGGATCCAGCTTTGTGGAGATAGACCTTCTCAAGATAACTTATTATGAGGAACAGTATTCTCAATAAAGTGGAAGTAACTTCTTTTATACCTATTTATATCATTGCCTGTCTGGCAAAATGCACTCTGTGTAAGCAATAATGAAACTGGTGGTGTTAAGGTGGAATAGTGGCTTAGTGGTAGTTGTACAGAAACTGTGTCCTTACTTCATTTGTTTACAGCTCCTTTTCCTGTTATTTGAGGTGAGATGCATCTTGTGATTTAAAATCAGAGCCTGTAGAAATGTTATGCAGTTATCCTGTGCAAGTAGGTGGGCAATGAGAATGAAGAACAGAATGGTCTATAGAAGTCTAAAGTCAAATAGCAGGAAATGAAGGATTAGTTTGTGCTCAGTTTTACTCTCTAGCTCTTTAAAAAAGTGTCATTCTGAATGAATCCAAATAAATACAGAAGATACTCCATGATGTTTTGTTGTTGATCCTCAGGAATCTCTTTGAGGATCTCTCTCTACCTAACAGTTCATGAACATGCTGTTACGTATGGCCTGAAAACTAATGACTGGTGTGAAAAATGTCTCTTTTTTTCTAACAGTGTATGCAAACATTACTTAGTAAACATAGTGTCTGAAGTAATAATGATCCACAATTCTTCAAACACTTAATTTAGATAAGGACATAAGCAGTTCTTCAAGCAGTAATTACTCCATGTATCGTAGTTTAAATATTATAAACCAGACACTAATGGATATTTAGGAGTAGATTCTAAGGTATTTGAGTCATCTTTCTCTAATGCAGCCTATAACAAGGAAATGAAAGCTATACTCTTAACACAGTTCTGTATATATGCATGTATATATTCCTAATACCTACGTTATCTGTACTTCCAGCTAGGCTTACGAATGATTGCTCAAAGACATGACTATGGGATTTCTCCTCCAATCATTAAAGAAGTGGCAAAATTATAGGAAAAGAAAGGGAATTATCTATTTAAATCTACAATTTGTATTTGTTACACCTTCACCATTGGCAGCTTTACATGTTTGTGCAAGTCAATGAAACCTCAAGGCTGGAAACTGACCATGTATCTACAATTTGTAAATCACGTTTACGTTTTGGTATGCACCCTTGTAGTCATGTACCATAATCACCAATTCATCTACCATCACTGGGTTTGTTCAGGGTATGAAAATAATTCTGGAGTATAAAATATGTTTCAAATGGAGGAAAGCGTTATCAACCTTCCTCCTTTGAGTCTTAGAAGCTTGCTGGTGAGGGGTAGAGTTAAACAGCTCTGTGATCTGGGAAGCTACTCGTATCTCACCCTCTCAGTGCAGTTCCTTATATTCATCTGTAACTGCAGTTCCTGATCATTTAGTGCAGTAGAAATGTAGAAATTTGTTGTTATTTTTATTATGGAAGCCAAATATTTTATTTCTTGTGCATAAGTGCGGAGGGATTTCTATCCCAATTGTACACACATAGGATTGTTCATAGACAGCCATTCCCACCTCTGTAGGCATTAAGCACTGAAATAGGTGCCCACAGAGGTTATTGGGAATTTTCAAAGTTCAGTTGGACAAAGCAATAAGCAACCTGATCAGACTTTAAATATAGCCTTGCTTTGAGCAGACAGTTGAATTAGATGACCTGCAGAAGTCACTAAGAACCTAAATATTCCTATAATTTTGAGGTCATCTTCATTTCAACCTATCTGGAGGATTCTTCCATTATTTAGTCAGTACCAGCAGACTTCATGAGGAAAGGCTGTGCCCTGATGGAAGCACAGCCTTCTAGCTAAGTAATTTGTTATGACTTGGATTGTTCACTCTGCTGCAAATCTCTGCTTTTAGAACTTCAGGCTGCCGAAGGACAAAACAGGTACCACAAAGATCGGTGACCTGGCCCATCAGGATATGAAGAATGTCTATTCTTTAGCACTGATTGAATTAACTGCTCTCTATGACGTACTTGGGATTGAGTTCAAGCAGCAAAAAGCTGTAAAAATAAAAACCAAAGGTGAGTTGATGTTTCATATTCTGAACCAAATGTGTCTGTTTTAATCCAATAAAACAAATGCATCCAGTTCTTTATGATTTTCCAGCAGAAAATGGTTATTAATATATAAATAGTAACATAGATCCTAAGCAGCATTTAATTAAACACCTTAACTGAAGGCACACTTCAAGCAAGCTCATGCACATAGTCACTCCAGCTACGAGACTCTGCTTGCCATCTAAAGTTAAAACTCGGGTCAACCACTGAGCAGCTAAACCAAGGAGTGAAGAAGGGAAACTATCTTAGTAGCATGCTGTGTGGGAAGTATTGCTTCACAGAAGTTCATATGTGCTGTTATGTTTCCTGGGAGGGCACGTGTATGTGCTCTTTTTGGGTATTCTTTTCCTGCTTTCCTGGGGGCAGGTACTGGGCTACTTTTACAGCTGAACTCAATGCTCTTAAAGGTCTTTTGCAGCTTAAATGATTCTGTGATTCTACCTGACTTTTTTTGCTTTTGTTGCCCTTTGGCTGGAGATGCTGAGAGCCTTTGTTGCCTGCTTTCCTCTTCTGTTTGGTACAAACTTTCCTGTGTCACACAGGCCTGGCCCATCTAGTATTTACTCTGGCCATGTTGCAGCTTTTATGCTGAATGGCATCATATCAAGTGGAAGGCACTGGAATAGATTGCCCAGGGATTGCCCCTTCCCTGGAGGTGTTGAAGGCCAGATTGGATGATGCTTTGTGCAACCTGGTCTAATGTGAGGTGTTCCTACTCATAGCAGGGAGGTTGGAACCTTATGATCTTTAAAGCCCCTTCCAACCTTAACCATTCTATGATTCTGAGATTTGGGCTGTTGCAGCAGAAGTTGAGACAACTACAACACATAATTTTGCTCTGCAAGCTGTTGGAGCATGTGTATAATCAGAGTGCTTTCCTTTGGAACATAGGACACATGGAAACCAGTTTCAATATGCTAGGTATCTTCAATGCTTTGTTTTCTGTATTTTTGGCTTCTGCTAAACGCTTATCAAGAGTTTGAAATGTTACCAGTTAATCACAAGCCTCCTTTGTCCAAAAGCCTGTTGTCAAGGTTCAGTGCATGTGATAGTGCAATAGCTCATCTTAAATAATTGAAAGCAACAGAGAAGGTTGAGAGATATACAGCAAGGTACAGTAGATTCTTCAGAATATGCTCTTTGCTTTACAATAGTAAAAAATAACTTTTTTCATGCAAAAGGTATACACAGGTCTCGTCTGTGAGACATTTATCCCTTAAATGCATTTTATTCTTTCAGAAGGGCTTGTGCTTTCACTAAAATAAACAGAGAGAACACTTTCTTCTCTTGTATTTTGGGTCTTAATTTTAATTTATACTTCTTATCATATTCATTTCTAATTGAACCTAACTCATCCGAATGACAAGCAGTTGTGAAAAACATTGAATTAATTTTAAAGTTTTTCAAAAGTTAAAAAAGGTGGGCTAGACTCATTGGAAATGTGTAGGAAATAGGCCATGACATGTCACGCTTTCTGCCAAACAAACCTCCTTTTGCAGTGTAGTATCTTCAGTGCCTTGTTCTACCTTACCCTCACTCTTTGCTCCTGAAGTGTTGTTTGGCCTATTGATCCATACAATGGTGGATCTATTGGCTCTTCCTTTTTGTGTCTGAGTATGTAAAAACGATGAACACATAATTCTTCTGGGGAATGCTGGGCTTTGCCCAGCCCTGCCTTGCTGTTGAACTCCTACAGTTTTCTTCTTCAACTTCATCTCAGTAGAAACTTCTATTATTGAAAAGATCTGCAGGATGATAAAATGTTGGGGTATGGATAATAACTGTATATACAAGTACCTACATATTTTATAGGTAGACTTTTAATGCTGATAGAGATAGAAGAACTCCCTGATTTGGCACTGAAGTGGATGTTTCTTTGACATATATCATATTCCCTCAAGGACTGACATATTTTTAGTAATTACAGCTGTTCTGTGTTCAATATTGGCATGGCATGATACCAAGCAGGAGTTTTTAGCTTCATGTAGTGTTATAGAGTGTTTTAGAAAAATTGCACATACAGCAATTATCAGTACTTCTGACTGAGAAGCTCTGTGTCAGCAAAGTGGGTTAGTTGTTACTAGTATAGCTCTCTTTCCTGCTCATTCACTTCTATTCAGCTGGGCCTGAAACAAGTCCAATTTACTTGAAGACTAAGGCTAGTTTTGCATCAAGGCTAGATTAATTGAGACTAGATTCCATTTATTATTTTTTTTTAATTTGTGTTGCCTTAGCACTATTGTAAAGGCTGTTTTCTAACCAAGACTTAACTGTTCATTTGCTTTTCTTTAAAAAAAAAAAAAGATTTAACATCCTTGATGAGATAGTGATCTTTCTATCCTGCTGATGTTGTATAATGCAAAAGCACAAGGGTTGAAAAGCTCTTCTTTAAAACCCTCATAGAGAGAAGTGTTCAGAGTAACTCTGAGTGATAATTACATCAGTCTCATTTTAGTAGCTGAATTTACCTATATTTTACTGATGCCATTTGTATCTTAAATATAACTTGCATTGAGTGGTGAAGATCTGCATTTCAGGGTCATTATCACACCCCTTCTGCAAACCAGAACCATGCAGATGGTTCATTTATGCAGTTTGCTTCACTGTACTGCAGAGTATGTGAATAGCAATTTGAAGTCAAACCAGAAGACTCTTGGTTTATGGTTGAAGGAAGAGATTAATGAATCCTTTTAGCCAGAGTGCTTTGTATAATAACTTAATTGACAAAGACATTAAAAAATTCAATATATTGAATAGATTTAGTGTTTCAAAAATATTATTTTATGCCATTATCACATGTACAGGAACAGATGTGGATAATATCTCGGTTTAATTTGCTTTATTCTTCAGACTCTGGCTTGTTTGGTGTCCCACTGTCAGTTTTACTGGAACAGGATCAGAAGAAGGTGCCAGGAACCAAGATCCCACTGCTTTTTCAAAAGGTAAAAATGCACAAACAAGACAACTTGTTACGTACCGGTAAATGACAACATTTTGTCCATGATTTATATGCACATTTTTCACCATATTACTCTAATCAAAGTTACTGTAACTTTTATTTGCAGCTTATTAATTCAGTAAATGTGATGCTGTGCTTTGCATCAGACACACTTTTGAGTTAAAGGAATAAATAGAACCATAGAATAGTTTTAGTTGGAAGGGACCTTAAAGATTATCTGCGTGGATGGGGACACCTCACTCTAGAGTTCATTTTTTGTTACAATTGGTCTCCATGGTTTAGACAAGTTACTAATAAGCCTGTGAAAACTCATTATCAGCCTAAGAACCCTAATTCCATTTCATAAAGGGGGTGTATCTTCTGTCATCAGTAGGGCTGCTCGTTATTTTTTTTCAGAGCAAATACTTGAAATTCTGTAGAAATTCTCAATACCTGGCTCACAGGCTGAACCTACCTCTCTAGGAAGTATTTTTCTCCTTTCAGAAGTGATTTGGACCACATGGCAGGTGGTTAGGGAGTGGGGATCACGCCAGATAACTATCTCAGCTGTTGACAGCAGCCATTTCCCAGATTTGTTGCTTTAGTATGTGAGAAGATGCTTTGGCCTGTATCATGTGATAGTGCTGTGTCATCGCTGTTTCAGTGGGTCTGGGGACCTGCTTGTTAAGTTGCTTTTGAAGAAACAGAAAACTCAGTTCTGTTTCACCCTCTCAAAACTACTGTGTCATTCACGCCAAAAATTGCTTCCTCAGAATCATAAAAATACACTTCTGGGAAAAATGCTATCTAGAAAAGAAGACATCAAATGAAAAAAAAAGTGGTTGATCTCTGCTATCCTGGCAACACAGTAAGCATAGCTATTCAGGAAGAAAATTCTACATAAACATTTCTAGCTTATAGATGTGATTTCTTTTGCAAGGTGCAGACATCATTTGGAATGCAGTTTTCTTTAAATGAGAATATGAAAAAAAAGTTTCCCATTTCTTCTGCATGTTCTTGACAGTACATACGTTCTAGGAATTGGGGATTTATATAAAGTGCAAGAATGTACACTTTTGTGCATTCTGCTTTTAAAATGTATCTTGTTTATCACTAAAATGAAACAAACCAAGCTAATAGGAAGGCAGGTTAATTAAAACAATTTTTAAAATAAAAATTAACCAAGTTTTTATTTCATTGAGGAATTGCAGTTAAAAATAATGACATAATTTATCTTGGGGGTTTTCTGACTGGGAAATTTTGGGGTAACACTGATCCATGTATCTCCACCAGAATTTTTTGTTGATAGTAGTTCAGGTCTCTGGCATGCTAATGAAGCAAAGCAGCCCTGACAGATGAAGAGGGGTTTTCCCATAGGCAGGAGACTGGTGTTGGCCAGCAGCTACCTCTTGCTGCTTGCCAAGGGAGCATTTACAAGTGACTGTGTGTGAAGGAATTGTGGCCATCAGCAATGCCACCAGGCCTTCTCTGGCTAGATGTGGTGATGGTAGCAAGTCACACAAGAAACCCACAGCATCTTTGTGTCCAACAGATGAGAGTGGCAGCCAGTGGTCTGGTTTAAGCTGGGTACAGTGAGAACTGGATACTGCCAGTCAGCACTTTTTTTAACCCAGGAGAATGTAGCAGGGTGACATAGCCTGTTTTCTAACTTTGTGGCTTTTTCTGTCTGATATTTTAATGGCATTTAAAAGTTACATGTGTACAGTGCTAAGTAACCCCCTATTAATTTCTGTAACTGGAGAAAACACAACAGTGTTGCATAATTTTTCTTAGTCCAGAGCTGGCACTGGAAGGTGTGTAACAAAGGCACTGCCCTAGTTAAACATTGTGAGAACCATTTGTGCTAAAATGATGTCATCAGCTTTTGACGTTTACAAATTCTTTTGAAGACTCTTAAGTGCATCCTTCACTGAATACTTCCCTGTGTATATTTTAGAGAAACATAATTTATGATACATGTTTTAAGTACTTTTACAGAATTTCTACTAATTTATCTAAGCCAAACTTTTTGCAAACTGTTGAGTTTTTTAAGACAATGCCAGGATTTTAAAAATTGAAGCTTCCTTAAAGCCCAAAAATACTTAGGTTGTCTCTGCTAAAGTGGTAAAGAAGAGTATTTGTGAGAAAGTTATTACTGTATCTCTAACATTACCTTCATTGTTTTGATTCAGAGACATTTTAACCGGTGTAGTAATTGGGATTTATTTTTGAAGACATAGTAATTTTGGAAAAAAAACTGTTTCAGTCACCAAAGGCCTAAAAAAATGCAGTTTTCTATTTGAATAAAACCAACTCTCCTGTAATAGTGTTCATAGAACAGCTAAGAGCCATATTAAAGCATTTCTCAAATACAACAACTGTAATTAATTTGTAAACCGTGCTTGTTACAGATGTGCACGCACAAATGCACACATGCAAACTTGAGTATATCAGAGTACCTACCAGGGATTTTTAATTGGCATCTTCATTCATTCAGTTTGCTTTGTCTTTGACAGTTGATTGCCCAGATAGAAGAGGCAACTCTGGAAACAGAAGGACTTCTTAGAATACCAGGAGTTGCAACAAGAATAAAGGTAAAACATTGCACCAATTTGCAGCATCCCCAGATATTTCCTTGTGCTTTCTGGTTTTATTTTGATGTGGAAATATATTTTAATACCAGGATAATACCAGGTTATGAAAATTTTCAAAAACAGAAAGCAAAATCTCTTTACAAAGAAAACTGAGTTATATTAGCCAGGAAGCTGATGGTTTCATCCAGGGTAGTTTGAGAGAGAAGACTGGAGTTCAAGTTTGAAGAAGAGTCAAGGCTACGTTTCAAGTTCAGTTGTGCCAAAATCTCATTCATTCTTGGCACAAGCTTTCCAGCCTTTTGCTTTTTCCCTGCACCAGTTTAGTAATCTGAGCAGTTCAAACACAGTATTTCTACCTCAGGAGGAAGCTTTTCTCTGGCACTGTGAAGCTATTTTAATAACTAGACTTAACCCATGTTACAGGGCAAGGCAGCCAGCATGCACTGGAGAACCTCTCACATTTATTTTTATGAACAGCAATATAACTAACTCAGCTCACTAAGTGGAATCTTGTTACTCACCAACACTTTGCAGAATGAGTGCCAATTACATGCAGTCTCTTCCCCAGTATTTTCCTTCATGCAGGAAACTAAATGCACAGCATGAATCATGCCAAGAGTCAATGTGTTAAAAAGATGGTCTGAACTGGCCTTAAATTCTTAACAGAAAGGAACATTTAAGAGGATTCAGCTGTGCAAAGACATCTGCCAACCTTTGTCATGTGGAACTTGGTCCACCAGCTGGTTCATTAGAAAAAACAGAAAGGAAGGAATATTCTGAAATTTGCTTTGTTTATTTACCAGAAACTAAGATTATTTTTATTTTTTATGATTTTCCTCCTTTATTTTCCACTTTTCATCAGTTCTGCATACTGGAATTATTTTTAAAGTGATTTTATTATTATTATTAATTGTATATTTTATCAGTTTAATTTAATTCCCCAGGTAGGGGATCATTCACTTTTTGACTTGCATTATGTTTTTACCTATTTATTTGCAGGAGCTGCTTCTGTGAATTAAGTAACTGTTTTGTTAGCAAAGATGTTAAGTTCCTTTACTTATTCAAATAAGAAAACTTCACAGAAAACAAAGAATGTAGTATATTAAAGCACTAATGTTTTTTCTTAAACTTTTTTTCTCCTTTTTTTTTTTCTCCTATAGAAAAAGAAAATATCTTCTTCCATATGTATTTTTCTATCTTATTCTATATATTTTAGGGGAGTTATTAAAAAATTGCATTGGACATCTACAATACCCCATAGTTCAATGTATTGGTTTACACTCTAGGGTGTGTAGTTTACATTTCTACTCTTGCCTCTCAGCTAAAGCAGTTAATTCTATCTAGTTGTTTAATACTGCATTTGCCACAGTGATTTGGTCTTAATGTGGATGGATGAGTTGATGAGACTCAGAGGGAGGATTGTCATCTTGATGTCTAAAGCTTGCTCTTGTTACTGAGCAGAAAATAATACACACTTGACTTCAGATCTCTGAGTTAGGATCTTGACACCTTTGAACCTCTTGCATAATCAGTAGAGACAGAAGATTTGTCTGGAGGACAGCTGAGAACATCCAATTCTTATGTCAACCTAAATGTCCACATTTTCTTTGGAAACAGATCTATTTGCACTTGGACAAATTTAGTAAGAATGGTATATTTAAATATATCTAATATCCTCTGTGCAACGTGTCCTTCTTGTCCAGATAAATATTAAAGGCCGTATTTTTCTAGCACCTTCCCTCACTTGATCTCACAGACTTTAGAAAACCAGCCAGTGTCTCTGTCCTCATTTTCTGTCCAGAGGAACAGAGGTGAGAAGAAGGGAGGGACTTGTGAGAGGTGCCTTAGGGCCACTGGCCCTGTATTGAGGCCACTTCCCACTCTGCCATACTGGGAAATAAATGAAAGGGGTGCAAGGCTGGGACTGATGCTGAATGGAAGACTGAAGAAGGACTCTGTCCTTGCAGCCTGTTCCTTTTTGTACATCTCTAGAAGCCCAATAATACTGTCATGGGAGCAGGGCAGGTATATGCTCGTGTCTGTCTGCTGCCAACAGTATCCCACACTTCCCCAACCCTGGAGTTATGAGATATCACTGAAACTTTCAGTGCTGTTTCTTCTGCTACATAATGTCATGTTTTGCAGTGCAGTCCCCTTCCACAGAGGGCATATTTGACATCCAATGCTAGACAAAGCTGAATGTGTCCAGCCAGTGGTGTGGAGTTCCCCATGGATGGCAAGACATCCAGTCACATAGAACTTTTATCTCTTTTTTAAAAGAGAACCAGTCTCAGTGTATGTTTTGATAGGAAACTGTGTGTCAAGATGCATAATTGCCATATTTGCTTATGAAAATGGCCATGCATGCATTACAGCAACACTCTTTGGTAGCAGTCTCAGAACTGCTATGTGTATCAACCACATCTTAATATTTTGGTGGAGGGGAAGTTATAACCCCTATGTGAATGAATATGATAGCTGGTTCTTACAGTATATTCTACGTGGCCCTGAGGCAGGCCCATGAGATTTCTTCTGATTTGACGATCTGTGGCCGTTACTGTGTGTTTGCTTTCAGTGCTCCTGGTCCCCAATTTGTCTTTTTGTAGCAAAAGATCAGCAGCAGCTGGAGTCAAGTGATATTTCAGATACTGCTTTCAAAATATGGGAAGTATTGCGTGACTTTCACCAGCCAAGTCTTATTGGTACCCTCTGTATCTACTGCCTTTCAGAGTCTTTGCCAAGAACTGGAAGCAAAGTTTTACGAAGGGACTTTCAACTGGGAAAATGTGAAGCAACATGATGCAGCAAGTCTTTTAAAACTCTTCATCCGTGAACTGCCTCAGCCGCTCCTCACTGTAGAATATCTCAAAGCTTTCCAAGATGTACAGAGTGAGTAGTGTCCTTTCTGTCTCAGTTGTGAAGAACTGATGCCAGTGCAGAGAAGTGCCTCTTTGCTGAAGAAATATTTTCACTAATAATATGTGAAACTGAACAACATTACTTCTCCCAAAAAAAGACTGGACATATTTTTTGCTAATGTACAAATAGTATTTTCTTGGAACATCTACTTTAATAATATAGATATAAAATGAAAGCTTACTTCCACGTTCTGGTAAGATGTTTCTGATAGTCATTAGGAGCTGCAGATGAGTTGTTACGAAATTGTGTATGTTGGTGTCAAGTTATAAACAATATTTGCTTCAAAACAGCAAAGATATAATCATTCTACAGAAAATCTAACAAATGGTAATTTATACTAATTAGAGTATTTTTTCTATTTACAAGAGGAAAAGTTAAAGTAGAATAGTCAGAACTGTTGATCATGCCTGGTCCCTTGAAATCAGCAAGTTCCTGTGAAAATGTTCTCCTTGCCAGCTGATCACCAAGACAGCAAACATACCAGCTGTAATTGGAAGAGAGCAGCTTGGTGATAATCAATCAGGAGTGAGCACCCATGTACATTAACTCCCTAGCCAACACAGGAGTGCAAGTCTCAGAAAAAACTATTCCCCTTGTCTACGGGTGGAGTGATGGCTCATTTCTAAGGGACACTTTCAGGGAATTCCCATGGACAGGCAGACAGATGAATATTCTTAAAAACTGTGGCCTGTGTCAGTCTCTGTGAGTTGTCTTTCAAGGCCATTAAGTTGGTGGAAGTAGGGGACTGGTGCTTGGGCCTGCTACATAGTGTTGTTGATTTTCCAGTACTGAGCAGAAAGTTAAAGCTGACCTACTGCTTTCAAATTATACTGGCAGAAAACAGCTCCTCCAGGTTGTTGCACTTACTGGACACTGATTGGAACCAGGGGAGTTTCTGCTTGCTGCTTCTGAGCTGTCTGAAGGCTGATGTGGTTTTACTTACCCAGAAAATACTCAAGTGCCAGGATCCAAAACACTTTCTATGCTGAGCCAAAGGATTTGATGCAAAACAGACATAGCACTTCATAGCCTTCCATTGTTTAAGTTGTCTGCCTGTCTTGTTGGTTACATGTAGTAAGATTAGGTGTTAGAGAAAAAGGGCCATGTTTGTGACAGTAATGAGTGCTTTTCATCTTACTGTGACTAGGTAGTGTGGTTAGAAAAAAATACTTAACTTCATTTAAACAATTTAATTTGTTAGTTTAAGTACTTCAAAATTCAGTTTTTGTTTAGGTGAATAGACAGAAACTTTGATTTAAGTAAGATATTTTAATTGTTTTGCAATTTTTTGGGGTATTTTTATTTTCTTTCCTAGGAAAAGGTTGATTCTCATTGCATTTTGAACATTGTGACATGGTGTTTTGGAACTCAACTTAAGCCTTACTTTCAATGTCTGTCTTTCTAGAGCAGGCAGATACACTGTTATCACTACTTGCATGTTTTAAATGCCTATACAGTTTGTCACTCATTTATTCAGATCCTTAATTTTCATTATGGCAGCAGGCAGACAGCAAGGTGTTTTTTTAATTCACTAATGAACTTTTTTTTTTTTTTTTTTTAATCTCCTAAACTGATTTGGATGAAATAGCAGTTCAGTTGGAATCCCAGCAGGGTGCAGAACAGCCTGTTGAATTTTGAAATAGTGTGATAAAACTATGTCAAGTGCAGGTACCTCCTTCTTCACTTGTTTTATGTGTGGCATGATTCGTTCGGAATCTGCTGAGAAGACTTGCCAGAGCTTGTCCTCTAACGCTTGACAGGAGGAAGTTTATCACAAGTGACAAACATTAGTGAGTTGAGGTTTTCTGCTGCTCAACACTGCCAGAATGTAGGAGCTCTTTTAGGAGGTGGAGGAGTGTAAGGATCCACTCACCCTGCATCTTGGAGTAATGACGCACGACTGAGCAGTTGGGTAAAAAGCAGAACTAAGATCACTTTTCTTTAATTATAGCTTGACACATTTGGTACAGCACTCACTGCTGTAGGTATGTGTTAAGCTTTGCTGCTCTTGGCTTTATCCCCACTGGTTTGCCATTGCAGCTGCTGTTGCTTATGTCGCTGGAGACCTGCCTTATTCAGCAACACGTGCTATTCATTCTGTGTGGGTGACTTGGGAGACCATGCAACTGTTAAGGCAATCAGAGAAACTGTGAAAGCAGTTTTGAATATACCCTTTCATATGTTGGGGCACAGGCTCAAAAAGGGAGGGACCGTTAGCTGACTATCTCTTCTTGTAACATTGCAAAATAGTCACAAGGCATCTAGAAAATACTGCCAGAAGACTGCTGAGTCATGCGGCAACTGAATTCTGAAAGAACATTTGGAAATGAGTATCAGAAAACAAGGATCTGCCAGCCCTTTGTCATACTATGACAATTAGCCATACGTGTGCATTCAGCATTTTGCAAGAGGTTTCCGCTTAAAATCATGCTTTTTGAAGAGGACAAATGACAATTTTAAAATACTGAGGTTCATGTGCTTCACTGGCAGATCTTCCAACCAAGAAACATCAACTTCAAGCTTTGAATCTTTTGGTTCTCCTTCTACCTGAAGCAAACAGAGACACTCTGAAGGTTAGAATTGCTAATGCTTTTTGTCTGTTTCTGTGAATCCACTGCAATGAATGCTTTTAACATTCTTTTTTCTTCAACTCAAAGTTAATGCTGAAACTAGTGATACTTTCTTTTTCCATATTTCACAGAACTTCAGAAAAAAAACAGCATAGGACCCTCATTTCTCCCAAGTTACTAGTAAGAATGTGACTTGAATGTTTTCCAGGAGGTTGCAATAATAATCTCCTAGCAAGCGACCTTTTATCTTACAAGTTTTCTTCCTTTTATAGCAGCAGCAGTCATTATTTCCAATGCAAAAATAAACAGTGTTAAAATAATATGGGTGAGAGTTTGCATTGGCAAAATGGGTTGAGCTCTTAATTTTCACTCCCCACTTAGCTGTGTGCTGTTTGTTTCTATTCTCAATAGGCTCAAAATTTACACTTCCTATTGGTATTTGCAGCATATTACATGGAGTCTTCCAATTGGGCTTGTCCTTTTATAGCAAAGCTGTTCATCTGTTTCAGAATATGCTTGCTGTTAAAATTGCTACAATCAAAAATTAATGTGCAGGGTTTGTGTAGGATGCAGATCTTCTGTTACAGGCAAAAAATCCTACTGGGTCTTACTGTTTAAATATTATTTTCTTTTTGAGTTTGTTTACTGTGCAGAAGCAGTTAGGAGTGCTCCTGAGTTGACACAAATATCTGAAACTGAGTTAATTGAAGATTGTCTGTTTCTAAGTGGCTACCTGTCATTCATGATGCAGTTAAACTCACAAATTGCTTACCTTACAGAACTAGCCATTCCCATGTTTCCATAAGCAGTACAGCTGGCACTGTTGTGTTCACTTTCAGTGTAAGAAAAGCCAGCAGTAATGTTTTCAAAAGCATCTGTGGGGTGCTACTTATGCACCTACACAATGAGTGGTTTGGAAAATATCTTACTGTGCAGGGCTTTGAAGTCACTTGAATGCTTTTGAAAACATTATTCACAAAAATAACAAGAATTACTTTTGGAGTTATAGGGTTCTCAGGGTTGGAAGGGACCACTGAAGATCGTCTAGACCAATCTTCCTGCTAGAGCAGGATCACCTACAGCAGGTCACACAGGAACACATCTAGATGGGTTTTGAATGTCTGCGGAGGAGACTTCACAATCTCTGTGGGCAGCCTCTTCCAGGGCTCTGTTACTCTTACAGTGAACTTTTTCCTTATGTTTAACATGAACCTCCTATACTCCAGCTTGTGCTCATTGCCCCTTGTCCTGTCATTGGACACTGCGGAAAAGAGACTGGACTCTTGGCCTTTAGATATTTATAAGCTTTTATGAGATCCCCCCTCAGTCTTCCCCAGGATAAGCAGACCCATTACTTACCTCATTACTGAAAGGAAACAGAACTTTCATTACAGTCTCATAAAGAAGCATATCCACACTTCCTTTTATTGATTGCTTTTAATGTGCTGTAATTAGGAATTAAGAGCTTTTTCCAAAAATAAGTAACATCATGTTTCACTTGTAACTTTTTCGTCTGCAGAGTTGAGCTGTAAGTTCTGCTGTTATTTCAGGTACTGCTTGAATTTCTCCAAAGGGTTATTGATCATCGAGACAAAAATAAAATGACATTGAAGAACGTTGCAATGGTGATGGCCCCAAACCTTTTCACCTTTCATGGATTTGGCTCAAAGACTATTGAACAAAGCGAGTTTGTTATGGCAGCTGGAACAGCAAATGTCATGCGCTTTATGATTCAGTACCAAAAACTTCTCTGGACAGTAAGTGTGTTCTTAAGGGAGGGGAAAAAGAATAAATTTTGCAAAGAAGGCGTCTGAATAAAGAAGTAATAAGAACTTAATTCCGTAATTTAGAGAACAATCATCCCCATCCAGCTTAGTTCTTGTTCAAAGGTAACTTACGGCAGCAAACAGAATTGTTGCGTACTATGGTAGAGTTAAGCTCTGATGGTCAGAGTTTTAATTTTGTACGTACCATATGTGAGCTCAAAAATAAGCCCTTGGGGAACCTTTGTATTTGGCCTATCAGTATGCATTGTTATGAGGAATTTATTCTTTTCTACTTAGAGATACTAGCAGGAAACATAGTGTTTTAGTCCATTTCCCTCTTGGACCAAACTCCGTATTACATGAAACATATTTTGATAAAACATGAAGTTGTGCCATGGTCTCAGGCTAAGCTCTTAACTGATTGGAGTACTTCAGGCTTTGTTGTCCATCAGCAACTTTAAACAATTTTGACCTTTGCTGCATGTGAGGAAAAGGTCTTACTGCTGTAAGGGATTTTTTTTTTTAGGTGAGGAAAGTAAAAACACTGCATGATTCCACCTTTCTTCCCCTGAGAGCTTACTGAATGGAAGAATCACAAATGGAGATATTTTTAAATTTAAATATATATTATTTGGTTGTTAAGTATTACTGGAAATCAGTACTATTTTTTTTTAATTCAACCTGACATTCTGTCAACTTACAAAGTTTTGATAAGTTAGTTACTTAAGGAAATTATGTATATATTCATACATACTATCTATATTCATGCAGATTCCCAAGTTTATTGTCAACCAAATAAGAAAACAAAACACTGAAAGCCAGAAGAAGGAGAAAAAGGACAAAGCTATGAAGAAACTTCTGAAAAAGATGGCATATGACCGGGAAAAACATGAGAAACAAGAGAAGACCCCTAATGATGTAAGGAACATAAATCTTAAATACTTTATTATTAACCCCATAATCTCTAGTGAAAATGTAGATATACCAGGGGGAATATCTACGTTTATTTAACTGAGATACCAGTAAATAGAAAGTTCATATGGGTTTTGTAGTTTATTGGTTCCTAGGATGACACATTTAGGGGCTTGTTTGTTTATTTTCCAGAATTTTTCCAAATATTTCTGTTGTGAAAAATATCTCACAGGTTGTTTCAATTTGGACATCTGAAACAAAGGTACACTAGGATTGCATCTGTTCAGGGAGCGAGTGTTGTGACAACACTCAGTATTACTATACCCACATTTGGACCATAGAATCATGGAATGTTTAAGGTTGGAAGGGACCTTAAAGATCATCAGGATCCAGTCTCCCTGCTATGAACAGGGAGATGTATTGCTGCCCAATGGAAGCCACAGCAGACCATGTGTTTATTTTAAATATATATATATATATATATATTTCACTATTTGATATTTAACAGTGTTTAGAAACTTCCTCTGATAGGAGTTCGCAAGCCACTGAACTTTTTGCCTCAAGGAATCTTAAACTCTTGTAAAGTGGAGCATGCCATGCATGCATGCCCTGCCCACCCCAAGAAACCCCAAAGGATGAAACAAATTTTTAAAAACCCAGAAAACTAGTACTGCTGTAGCTATTGTTCAAGTGTCTATTCCTATCTTATCGTTGTGTATATCATTTACAGTTCAGTATCACTCCATTAGGTGAATTCTGAGGGAACAATCTGTGATGTGGAGACTTTCACACGTTTGTTACAATGAAAAAGAATACTGTGGCATTAGTGTATACATTTTTCCTGTACTTTTTTATTACTTCCCATACTTATTATATCTTAATTGAACTGTTCCCACTGACTTCAAAACTTTCCAAAACTATATTTCATGTACCTTGAAATTGCTTATTATTTACGATATCAATGAAGTTAGCAATTACATCATTAGTAGCCTATACAGTATGGTATCTTAATTATACTGCATTTGAAATACAAGATTCCAAAGTTATTTTAAATATATAAACAGATAACACCAAATATGTGTATCTTGATACTATAATGAATACGTATCAGATTTGGGTAGTATGAAAATACCACCTTGTGTGTTGAAGTCATATTGACGATTCTGGTGAATTAGAGACATCTTGTGGTAGCTTGTAAAAATGCATTGGTCTGCGTCGTCTGGATTTCTTGTCTAGTGTAGGTATGGAAAACTTATAAAAAAGGGGTTTTGTAGTCTAATAAAGGCATTTTTTTAAGATATTAAGAAAAAAATAGGATATGGAAAATTAATATGCTATAATATCCCATAAATCTGCCTCGTTTGACCTTGCAAGTATACCTTCTAATTTTTTTTCAACTGTGCCAGTTGTTGGATCCTTTGGACAACTGCATCCAGCATCTGCTGCAGACTTATATTTCAGTGTTTCTACCAAATTTTGCATGCAATATTGGATATATCTCTTAATGCCCAAAATTAATTAATTCCCCAAATACCACTTTGCCTTACTTTCATATCTATCTATACAAAGAAATCTGTACACAGAATGGGGACTTCCATGCAAAATTAAAATAAAACTAATAAAACATTGACATTGGTTTTATGCTCTCTAATAAGAAAAGAATTCATTGAATACGATTCAGGTGAGTTATGATGGCACTTAATGCTGCCATCCCCTGTTCAACCTAGAAATAACAGCAAATACACTGAAATAGGCAAATGCTGTTCCAAATTCAGGTTTTTGTGTTTTTTTTTTTAGTAATTCAGTGCTGCTGTTCTTTTAGAGTAAAATATGCTTTATAATGCATATGCTGGCTCCACAGGGGAGCCAGGGCTGAAGTCTCATGTAATACATTCTTACTCAAATGTAAATGTGAAGTTATTATTCAGTAATTTTCTTTAAGCCTTAGAATTCTGTGGGGATTTTCTTCAAAATTAAATGGTACAATTTTTTCACAAATACTTCATGCTTATTTGAAGCATTCAGTAATGTAGGTGCCTGAGAACATAGTACTCTTAAAATCATACAAATTGGTAAGGCTTCATTTTGAATGACAATTTTATACCTTTTTCTGATTAAGAACTGACTCATTCTTTAAGGAAAATTTATTGTGGGTTTTCTTTCTTCTAATTTTTCAATTTTTACTGCCTTAATTTGAAATTGAGGTGATTTTCCTGTGCAGTTCTTGATCTGTATTTCATCATTAGATGTCAAATGAGGCAGGCAGAGTTACGGTGAATCCTCACTCCAGTGAAAACTGTTTGAAACTTTTGAGAGCTAATTATCTCTTGTCCAGCTTAACAAAAACCAAGTAAAAGTTGCTATTTTCTACCACAGGCTGTGACAGCCCACATGATTAAACATAGCTGGACAGAGCTTTAGTCACTTCCATGCTCTCCTGAAATGCCTCAGGATCTGTGATCTTAGTGGCGATCATGTCATTTAGATAAAATTTCATCTTCTCTCTGATGAGGCTATTCTATCAATCAAATTTCTCCTTTTAAGACTGAGCTTAAATAGCATTTACTGCAAACTTTGGCAAGATCTCTGTGCAGTGATGAGAGTGGTTAAAATTAGAGGGCTCACGAGGGTTAATTTAGAGAGGTTAGTATTAGAAGACTTGTGAGGGTTAATTGCTTTTCTGCATAGCTATGAATTCCTATGGCCCCAAGTCATTGTTAGGGAATTAAGTCTTTATGTTGTTGTTGTTGGAGTGCATAATGCTCTAGCCAAGTAAAGAAAGATGCCTTCAGGACTGGAAATTTACCTATTAGCATTAACCAAATTTATACCATCTGTCATTGTATTCCTCTGTATGTTGCAATTGTTTCAAAAAATGGGAGCAGTCATGTTAGCAGCACAACATGGTGCTACTATCTAATACAGGTTAGAATAACCACTGTGTTCCACAGCCATTCTGTTTGCAAAACCTGTTTAAATTTTCACAGTATAGCATTCCTGACTCTTGCTGAATTTGTTATCCACTGCAGTGCCAGATTATTTACTAAAAAAAAAATAATCAAAATGTACCCACTAAATAATTTCTTTTTATGTAGTTTTAAAGTTGTTTGTCCCAATCTAGGTGCAGCACTTTGCAGTTCAAAGAGAACAACTGCGTCACATTTCTTTCAGACTTTGTCTCCTATGTAGCAAGACCCTTTTGAATTCCAGTTTTATTCTTCATAATGCTCGTCCTCCATTCCTGCTTGGCATCATTTACACATTTAATAAGTGTATCTTTTATTTGGTCATATTAGTCATTAGTGAAAATACTGCACAGTCACTTCATTCTCTTTTCATCTGGCCTGATGAATATTTGAGCGTGTCATGCAAAATGGAACAGGAAAATCCAGAAGAGACCCACCTCAGATCCTGTAGCCAAGCAGCTGCAGTTCTTTTGTGGTACATTGATTCAAGTCCCTCTAAAAAGAGAGTTTGAAAGAAAAGGATTACCTCACAGGTGACTGCTGTGCCCGATACAACGTTGTAGGCCAGCGTATTTTCCATCAGCTAAGGATGTATCTCTCTTCAGGTTTTTAAAGTGTGCAAGTACCTAACTCAGCCAGAGGTTTCATTGTTGTAAACCTCCTCCTGAGAGAGCCTGTGGGGCAAGAGAGGGAATTCACAGACTACTTATAGATGACCTACCCTTCAGCATCTTGTCATTCACCTTATGGGTACTTGGCTTAGATGTTGGGATGAGGAGCCCCAGTTTAGGTGTTTTGAACTGGCCTGTGCAGAGATCAAGTCCTTCTGTGACTCTGCTCCTAGATGTTTGGTGGCCACATTCATTTTCTTTGCCAACAGCTTGCACAGTGAAAGGGCTAGGGATGCTCAGTATCTGCTCTCTACAGTTGGGCACCATGAACATATTGTGCAGCTGAGCACGAGTTCTTCTGTAAATTCAGGTGGTGAAAGTGGCAAAATGCACTCATTAGCTGAGCTTATAATGATTCTGTCTGAATAAGCAAAGCAATTATTCTGTTTGATCTCTGGCCGTAATGTTACAGCTCTGTGGGTGTTTCTGACCCCTTCTCTCATTCTCAAAGCAGATAGGTTTTAAATCATGTAGCATATGTCTGCTGTATAGAAAAAAAAACTGTTATCCAGCTGAAGGTTGGAAAAACTCCATTAAAATAAACTGTGACAAAATGATACAGAATTACATAAAGAAAAAGAAAACAAATTTCAATTTACTATGCTGAATTTGGTGAAAGTCCAGTGAGGGACATCTGTAAATAACCATTTTATCCTTAAAAGTTTCCTTCACTTTTGCCAGGTTCCCAACAGTTTGGAAAAGAGACAAAAGATTTTAAGCAAGATTTAACTTCCTGACAGATGGCAACAGCCATTGTTTCCATAGAGAGAGACCTTAAAGAACATATTTGACAAATTTAGGGAGGCATGTAGGGAGTTGCTCTTTGAGATCGATAGCAACCTTTTGAATATTTGATTCCATTATTACTACAAAGCAAATTCTCAATTTGGTGATTCTTAATGCTTTAGACACAAATAATTACTATGTCTAGTATTTTTAAATAAATAAGACTGGATATAGAAGAACTGATGAATTTTTTGTTTAAAATTACTTTCCTGAAGCTCACCACTGCTATAATAATGAGCCAGTAGCTTTCTCAGGAAGCTGTGCTTCTGATTCTGTTCACATTTATACTTGTTCTTTATTCATTTAACTCAAATGGTTTCAGAGAAGCTCTTCTGGATTCACAGGTGCCCAGATTTGTTCATTGATTATGGAAGAAGAAATGTTCAGCCTTACAATTGTAGTAAATGGGGGTGGAAAGAAGAGAATGAACTGTCATAATCAACCTTGACTACTGAGAGTCTTACATTTCTTTTCCTATCAAAATGAGTACATTTGGGTAAATGGTAATGTAACACAAGAAGAAAAATGACCTTGGGATTTCCAGGAACAGAAATTAGGACCTTATTCACAAATAAATGGTGCCTTTTGTAACTTCAAGTGTCATGTACTCCAAGTTGAACAGAAAAACTGTCCTTTGGAGCCCTCCTTCTTTGTAACTAATATGATTAATATTAATCATCAAGGATTTTTGGGTTGAAATAAAATACAAATCCAACATGTAGTCAGACCTGTAGGTTGACTAGCTGAATTCTTTCTGGAGAATAAAAAATAGGGCAAAAAAGCTCCAGTATTGAGTATCTGTTTTAAAAGGAAATTATATTTGAAAAGAGGAATCACTTAAAGTAGACTGAGCCGTGAATACTTTGTGATTTCTTCTTTTTCTGCATGTATTGAAGATTAAATGAAACTGGAAAGGCTTCTTCTGGAAGTTTTAGCAGGGGTGGTGGTGCAGGGGGGTTGTCTGGCTTTCCTGCCTGCAGCAAGTCTTTTCCATATCCATCTCATATGCTTCTTTTCTTACCAGTGTGTTCTTAATCTAGAAATAATTGTTATTGTTATTCTTAACATCTTTGAAAAATAATTAAACACTACTGTTTGTTCTGAAGTCCTCCCTGCTGTTAAAAAGAGATTTGAAGGTCTGATGTAATTTACTGAATTGCTGTGTAGTTATCATATTTCTGCAGCAAAGTGCAGTAGCTAGTAGTTAAGTACAGAGCCCTGTACTAAGTTACTTATTCCATACTGTATTTTGAGAAGCTCATCAAAGCCAGCTGCTAGCAGCTTTGTTCCAGCACTGTTACTGCTTTGCAGGCTGATGTTCCTCAGGGAGTGATACGGGTACAAGCGCCTCATCTTTCCAAAGTTTCCATGGCAATCCAGCTGACAGAAGAACTGAAAGCCGGTGATATAGTAGCCAGGTTTCTCAGCCAGAAAAGGTAAAAAGCACATTTTTGCTTTGTTATCATTTTGGGAGAAGTAGCTTTTCATATGTAATACAAAGAAAAAAGTTTTCAAATACTTTTAGTCCAGGTGAGTTCATTAACTTTTGGGGCAAATTTAGCCATTAGAATGCATGCTTGAGGAATTAACTTAATGCTTCTAATGTCTTTAAGCTTACAAAGACGTAAGGAATACATGAGTTCTGTTGGGAAAAAAAATAACTATTCTTTAATCTGATGGGCCAGGAATAAGTGTGTAACTTTCTGAGGAGAAAACAGAACTCCAAGAAAATAAGTCTAGGAAACAAAGAGTGAGGATAAGAGTAAGAAAATATTATGTACAAAAATTGAGTTATGTATAGCAACAGTATAGGTATTGGAATATAAAGGTGTGCAAATGTCATGCATGTGCAGTGATTTAAAAGGAAAGTTACATTTGAGTTGTAAAAATCCATTTAAAAAGGGACAGGTTTTAATCAAGCTTTTACATCTGTTCTTATATATGAGGAAAGTAAGAAGTCGGAAGAGACTTAACAAGAAAAAATATTAAACACGTGTGTATCATATATATGAGTATTCATGCTAAAGCAGTAACATGGTGCACTAGTTGAGATTAAGAAGCTGCTTTTTCCTAAATCCTTTTGTAGAGGTTTACAATTTTGGCAGTTGTTTTCTGGCTGTGCCTTAGCATATATTCTTACAATTAAGCAGTGAGAATAATAGAATCCCTTTGTAATACGGGGGCTTTATTCTTTCACTGTCTGTTTTTTACTTCTTTTAGTTGCAGCAAAATTAAAACCAGCAAGAATGTGGTTTCTTCCACCCAATCATGAGGCTCTTTCTGAAATATTAAATGTCTGAGGGGAGTACTTTTTTTTGCAGCAGCAGTGAAAGAAAAATCAGAGGGTAAATATCAGGCTATTTGCTAATAACAACAGAATTCTCTTCTAAATTCTACAGTTTCTTCACATCTGTCTTATTTTATCTTTTCTATAATGTATTGCTCACTTGCAGGACTATTCATTTGCACTAGCATGCACGAGTATTCTTGTTCACTTACTGGGTCAGTAGACAAGTATAATATAAGAGGTACAGTGCTGATCTTAACTAGCATAATTTCTTCCAGACATATTTAAGTGGCCAGTGTACAAGCTCTTTCACAATATAGTTACTCTTTGTGGTTTTTTTCCTGACAGTGGAAATGTCCAAACTCTCAAGAAAGAAGAAGTCTTTCTATATGAAATAGGAGGAAATATCGGTAAGAATGGCTTCTGAATGACTCCTTTTGCTAGAATAGGATTTCTTGGCACACGGGGTCTATGGGTTTCACTGTGTTTGTATTTTTATTCATGTCCCTAGTTCTCCCTGATGCTAAGACAGTAAGTTAACCTTGGGGAGAAGGAAGCAGAAATGTTGGTTTGATCATGATATTAGTAGCATCTTATCTCTCCCAGAGGAAGATGGCAGCTGTTACAGGTGTTCTTGATACGTGTGCACAGTGAAGAAGCACAGAAAGGTTGTATAGGAAGGTTCTTGAAGTTCATCTTATTCATCTCTTTAGATTGAGGCATAATAAGTGAACTTAAAGTCCTTCATGGTCTGAATTTGAGCATTACTTGCAGGTTCCTTTGGGGAGAAAAATTACTTAACCAAAAAGATGACCTAGTGATAAAATTTTCCAACGATCAGTCTTTCTTGCTCTGTGTGTTCCAGACCCACTTGATTAAAGCAAGCAGCAGGTCAGCAAGGTTAATGCTAAAAGACAATTTTGAACACAGTTGTGAAAATTTCTTTGATGAATGCAAAAGTATTTTTTCATTGAGGATCAGTTTCTCATCACTATTTTTCATGTGCTCAGCAAAAAGAAAAAAGGAACTGGAAAACAGTATTGAATTGGACTTACATTTACTTTCCTCTTATTAACTGTTACCTGTTAAACTTTAATTGAAGTTACAAAATTCCATTAATACACAGTACTTCTGTACTCTTCAAGTATAAATCCTGCATGAATATTGCTACTGCTAGCATTTTTCCTTTTTACCTAATCACTATTTTAAAAAATATTTTGTGTGTGTGTGTCAAAACCAAAAGATTTAGAGTAAATTTAAAAGAACACTTTTCTATGTTCCCTACAACAGATATGTTTTAGTGTTTTTACTAAGTGTAATGTTAAAAAAGTTACTAAGATAGCTGGAAGCCAGATTGATGTATTACATCTTGTCTTGTATGTCAAATATATACATATGTCTGCTGACTGTTAAAGCAGGTTGTGATCCTAGATGTAAGGCTTTTTTAAAGGAGTACCTTTTTTATTGTACAGAGGTGTAAGCATTGTAGAAAAACATTTTTGTAACACAAATTCCACTGAAAATGGAAACATGTGACAGAAATTGTATGTCTCTTAGAGAAAATACATGACTAGTTGCAGATTAGTTTTGTAGCAGATAGAAAGCTTAGGTATTTCCTCTAACTGATTGCTTTGCTTCCAGACAATTTTCATTTTAATCCGCCCTTACAGATACTAGTCCTTATTAATATTCTCGGTTGAGAGAAGAGAAACTACCTGTCTTTAACCTGCTGTACAGGTTTAAGTAAACCAACTGTCCCAATCTTCGTCGTTCTTTCTGCCCAAAGTGACTGATTTATGTGGAGAGAGCCCAAAAGATGGAAGACTCAACAGGCTCCTGATACACTCTTATACCTACACTTAGACTCCTAGTTCCATTGAGTGCTGCAATCCTGTCCCATAGCAGATGGAGCTGCTTAAGTCTCCACACATTTCTTGAGTACTCAATACACTACAGATCTTCAGGACACTGAACGGGACTTCTGCCATAGCTTCGTGATGGGGACTGGATACAGACGTGGCAATCCTTGTCCCTGTGCTCTTGCTGCTTGACGATGCTGCACTGTGTGTAGGTTGAGATAAAAATACTAGAAGGAAGGACAGGCTGCTGCCTGGCAAGGAGAGCAGCTGGAGAGGGAACAGGTGTAGGCCAAGCCTGGTAGAGCAGGGAGGCTTCCCTTCTTGCCTGCTCTGCTCAGGAAGCCAAAGAGCTAGCAGGACAAACCCAGCTGCAGCATCACACCTTTGCTTACCTCCTGCTTCAGGAACACATGGGCTTGAAATGTCTGGCTGGCACATGAGTCATCTACCCCAATCACTTGCATGGAGAGGCAGGAGAGGGGCTGTGAAGTACAACTTCAAATGCATGAGATAATGCTTTGCCTGTGAAGGAATGGGAAGAGTATGTAGAGCTTGATGGATCAGCATATGTTATTTTCATCGTAGCTCCTAGATATAAATTAATTGCTTGTAATGCACCAACACTGTACTACTTTGCCCTCCTAGGACAGTAACCATGACAAGTGCTATGCAGAACTGCTGACCAAGAGGAGCAGGATAAGGAGTAAGGCCTTCTTAGCAAGGACAAACCTTGCTCAAAGTTTCCATTTAAGAAGGGGAAAACAACCTGAAATGTTAATGGGTTTCTATGCAAATGTGAACCTAGTGTTTTAACCACATGATTTAATGTGATTTAACTGCAAGAGGACTAGGGCATTGCTCCTTTTTTCCTAAACCTTCACAGAGAGGAACTCCCATGAACATGATCTGTGTGATGACTATGACATAGAACATGCCACAGAGGTGGCACAGCCCCTACCCTCCTTCCTTCTTCCTCTGTCCCCTTCCTCTCAAGACAGATGGGAAGGCTAAGAGCACTTGAAGGTTTTTAGCTGTGTTGTACTTTTTTTAGTACCACAGAAAGGGCTTGAAAACCTAAATGGAATAAAACAGTGACAGGAACTTTGAAATTATTATCTTTTTTCAATACTGTTGTAACCACATATATTTCTTCTGCTTCTAGGAGAACGCTGCCTTGATAAGGATACCTACATGAAGGACCTATACCAGCTCAACCCAAATGCTGAGTGGGTTATAAAATCTAAGCAGAGCTAAGCTCACAACTAACTGCAAAAGAACAACCTGTGGACTTTATTTGTAGGGCTGAATGTTTCAAAGGGATAGTCTGTCCTTATTCAGTTAAAAAAAAAAAAAAAAGTTAGGGAAACCCAAAAGTGATTATCAGTAAATTGTCAGTTTTAGTCACAGTAAAGTTTTGAAGATAGCACAGTTTTCCCACTCATGTTTGAAATGAGAATAAGTACCTTAAATATTTTAATGGCACTAATCTACCTCCCATCTGGTAGGTCTTGTTTCAGAAGAATTTATTTTTCAAACAGATGTTTAACCTCTTTTGTATTAGAGAGCTACAATCTGTTGGTGTAGAATTTTGTGTTCATGGAGGTCTTTACAGTGCTAGTATACGGGAGAACCAAATGCTGATTAGCACTTCTGAATGGTACAGTATTAAAAATGCCTAAAACCAGTCATATGAATTTCCCAAATAAGTGTGAAATTCACAAGAAAAAACTGCAATGCAATATATTTTGTCTTTGGAAGTCCTACTTTTGTTCACTTTCTAGGTAAAGTTTGGTGAAAACTATTGAAAAACAACTGTGAAAATGAGTTCTATGCAGCTTTTAAATTTTTATTCTTATTCTGGTTGATTGTATTCTTGAGAATATTTAAAGAAAACAAAACGACCAAAAAAACCCAAAACCCATGAAAAAAAAGGACCATATGACAAGGTGAGTAATTTTTAAAGCTCACCACTCTTGGCAGTGTTCTTTCTGGAATATTGTCATGCACTAGAAAGTTTTTCCAGCAATGATAAGCAGCCATGTTACAAAGACTGGTTTCAGGGTTTTTTGACATCTGCTAGATTGCATTCTGTGAACTGCCAAAACCTGCCAATTGCTAGCGTGATTAAAACCTTCAGGAAGAATAAAATTACTGTGGAGGAGAAACTGTAGTCTAAATTTCATAGGTAGCAAATCACCAAACTTTTCACTCAAAATTGGTGTAAAGATCTACTGTGGAGTTCACATAAGCTTTTTTGGATATTATCTACCATCAGCTGGTCTGTCCTGGACGAGGCTAGAAATCAAGCTCTGATTTCTCTTAAGCTGATAGGCACTGTCTAATCCAATAAAAAAATTAATAGTCCAGTGGTGAGCTATTGAAGATCCTTCTCTTTGCAGGGAAGGACTGAAAGCTCCCCATGGAATTCACTGGTAATGAATGATAGACTGACGTGGCTTGTTGCAGCACAAAGAGCTCCAGTCCCACAGCAACACTTTGGGTTCACTAACTTGTGTACCACTTTACAATTTCTTTGTAAACTAGCTCAGCCCATGTCTAAGTGCTCACACCTGTGTGCTGACTACCTGAAATAACTACTGTGAAATTATATCCTTGGAATGAAATACTTTCTTTCAGTGCACACTGGGAATTACATTGACCTCACGGGGAATATTATACATACAATCAAGAACCAAATTATTATTATTTTTTTTACGTGATCAAAGCTGATTAAAGGAATAAAGGGCCTTTCTGCTGAGCTTTGGATACAGGCCCTGACTCTGTTGTTCCCAAAGTGACCACTGGAACTCTCCATTTTATATCTAAGCAGTGAAACAGAACTCTGAAAGGTCACAGAAAAAGTCAGCATCTACTGCTTAGTTATCCACAGCATATGAACAATTTTGAGGGCATTTTTTTTGCAGTCAAAGTCTGTCTTCATATGGAAAGGAAGCACCAAAGGGTTCTCAAAAGCAGGATGAATAACCTAGGAAATTGTTTAATGTGACTGTACTGCCCTCAAAGCTCCATCTGCTTGGGCACCCTGACATGGTAGAGCAGTGCACCACTGTGAGGGAACCCTGTAAGACAACTTTTGTCACTTTTGTGACAAAACACAAACCCAAATAGAACAAACCACACTCCCTGTTCTTTAAAGGTAAGGAGTAGAGAAGAAAACCAGTACAATGCTTAGGTATATACTTATGAATCTAATGTAATAAATATAAAGGGTTTTTGTTATGTAAGACAAAAATAACGTGTGTTTTCATAAGACATTATAGTTCTGTGAAAAATTACTTGTTACTGGAACTCTAGATGATATTTTAATCAGGAGCAAAGTGCAGATGATAGGAACAGCTGTACAGTTTCAGTATAAAATTACAACTGCCCTGTGGCTATGATCTCTTAAGTAACTTTGTTTCTGGTTTAGTGCCATTCTCTTTTTTTAATTTAAAAAGCTCTTTTGTAATTAAATGTTTTTTTCTGACTTCTTTTCTCATTTGAATTCTTATATTTGTACATAAAACACAAGTGACACAAAGGAGTGACCATTTTTTTATTTCACACTTTGTATCTTTGTAGGTAATTTGTAGTTTTGTGTGTGGAAAGATAACATTGATCATTTAGAAGGAGGATTGCAACATGAATACCTGCTGGAAAAGGAAATACTGGCTGGAAGTTTAACACTTTGCTGCAATCACAGCACACCTTAGCTAAATCCTTAATATAATAACACTTACTGTGTATGTGTGAGGGAACAGCAACCCTCTCAGCATTTACTAAAAATACTGGCTCTTAAGTCCTCAAAATTAACAAATTAACTTAGGGCACAAGGGAGAAGTCCAAAATGCGTTCAGGTAAGCTGATAAGAATCTAGTATAATTAAGAAGATAACTCTGTGGGAAACACATCCGCAGGTTTTTTTTTCACCTAGCTGACAGATTAATGGATTTAACACTTAATGTGGATCTCATAAGGACAGAGCAGTGGGGATGTCTCTGGTGCAGCTGTACATCCCCACTGCTCTGCCCACACTGCAGGACTGGGTTGGGGGCGAGAAAGGTGTGGGGAAGCAGGCAGTAGCTCCTCATACCACTGCCTGGATGCTGTGAAGCATGTAAGAGTGGTTTTGTGCTCAAAAAAAATCCTCCAATGTGTATTTGGGGGGGCTGAGAGGGTTCATCATGCTTGTGTGGGATGTTGACACCTTTCTTGCACTGCCTATCTTCTTCAAAGACCTGTTTGCACTCATTTTCCATAGCCTCCTGTACTTCTCCACATTGTGTGAAGCACGTGTGCCATCCCTGGCATAGAATCATAGAAGCATAGAATGGGTTGGGTTGGAAGGGACCTTAAAGACCATCTAATTCCAACCCCCACTAGACCAGGTTGCTCAAAGCCCCATCCAACCTGCCCTTGAACACCTCCAGGGGTGGGACCTCCACAGCTTCTCTGGGCAACCTGTTCCAGTGTCTCCCCACCCTCATGGTAAATTATTTCTTCCTATTGTCTAACCTAAATCTCCCCTCTTCCAGTTTTAATCCATTACTCCTTGTCCTCTCACTACAACCTTGTAAAATGTCCCCTCTCAGCTTTCCTGTAGCACCTTCAGGTACTGGAAGGTCACTATGAGGTCTCCCCAAAGACTTATCTTCTCCAGGCTGAACAACTACAACTCTGAGAACACTGAAGTTGTTCTTGCGTTGCAGATCAACACACAGCATGTGTGAGTGTGCTGGTGAGGTTTCACAAAAGTGGTAGGGAACAGGAATATGAAATGTCTGTATGGGTGGAAGGCACTGGCTGAGTTTCCTTCAGGCCTCCTAATATGCAGTGGCATGATTAATTCAAGGGGTAAGGAGATGTATTTTTATCCTCAATGGAGAAGGATGTTTGAGAAAGGCTTCCTTGAAAATTTTTCCAGTCTATTGTTTCTTTGTTAGATACTCCTCTTAAGTGCAGTGGAACTGTCCAGTAACACACTCTCTAAGAATTAAATTCCAGCATAAAGCTAACTTGGCAGAAGATCTGCTAAAGGAATTATTTCCTCTGTCTCACACCTAAGTATATCTGATGATTAGACTTTTATTGTGTTTCTATTTTTAAAAGGTTGCAGTATTAAAGAACGAATAAAATACATATGCACTAATCTTACAGCAATAGTTATAATAGTTATTTTTTATGTAGAGCAACACTTGTAAGATCTTCAAACCACTGTTTGGGTTTGCATACAGACCACGTCTGAGGCAGCAAAGTACTTATCCCCATTTAGCAGATGGAGAAGGTGTTCATTAATGGCTTGCCTGTGGCTAGAAGGAGGGAAATCAATCTGATTTAAGAAACCTCCAAAAAGTGTTTTAAAAATCTGCCATGTTGCCAATAGCAGAAGTGCAGCAATCACAAATCTGACATTAGGGAACTGTTTGACTAAGTAAAATACTGTGGTTTTTAGCCTGGTTTCCAAAGGAAAGGTGTCTGGGGACCTCACTGCCTGTGTGTCTCTTCTCCTAATTACTTTTGAATCTGTTGGCAGACTTCAGCCTTTTTTGGCAAATGGAGTGGTGGGGAAGGAATGTCTCAAAAATAATTCAGTTTCTATATGCATCAAAAAACTAGGCAACTGGAAGGGTGAGAGAGGCAGTACGGGTGTTTTGATCAAAGGGAAGATGACAGCATGAACTCTGCTGTTATTTAGGCATCAGAAAGGGAATGTACACATGCTCTGACTATGGAGGGCAACAGTGCCTGGAGCTCATGACCAGCTGTTGGAAGCTGTTTCTCTTCTCAGTGATGTCCAGTGATAGGACAAGGGGCAATGGGTGCAAGCTGGAGCATAGGAGGTTCCACGTAAACATGACAAAAAACTTACAAACTGCTTTACTGTGAGAGTGACAGAGCACTGGAACAGGCTGCCCAGAGAGCCTGTGGAGTCTCCTCCACTGGAGACATTCAAAACCTGCCTGGACACGTTCCTGTGTGATGTGCTCTGGGTGATCCTGCTCTGGCGGGGGGGGGTTGGACTAGATGATCTTTCTAGGTCCCTTCTGACCCCTAGGATTCTGTGAATTGACATCAGGCGTCTGGGTGCCTGTGAAAGCCCTTCCTTGTGTTGCCTTCTGACTTGTGAATCTTCTTTGCTGACTTGATGTGGGTGGTTGTTGCTGAAGCTGCAATTAATCTTTCTCCTGGGCTGGTTTTTGTGGTGCTGCTTCTCTGCAACTTATAGTTAGTATGGCTCATCCCCACCCTTTCCT